GTCCTTGGTACCTTTGTTGGCTTTGCTTCTATTGAAGGCTAGAATGATCAGTGAACTGATTGTTTCTTTTGTATTTGTTTTGTTGATTGTTGGGTGTCCTTTTTTCAGCTCTCATCCCTTGTATTTATAGGAATTTTGGTTCCTAAAAATATCTGGAAAATATCTCCTGGAAAATATTAGTTGTGATGAATATCTTTTCCTTGTAACTTGTGAAGAAAATATCCTTCTTTTGAAGGCACATGGATGTTTTGCAGAGATACTCAGCATGCTTTCTCTAAGAATTCCTTTTGAATACCTTCTGGCCATTCTTGTAACTTGTGCTTCAAAATATCTTTACTGATGAGACCACACGGGTCTGTAGTTCTCGAGACTTAAATGGCTATAGGAGATAACTTTTGCTTTTACCTTTCTATTGATATGGTCTTGAGTTAATGAAGGTCAGACCTCAAGTTTCAAAATATGTAATTTGGGAACTTGGGAAAGCTATTTTGGCTTATTTTTATCTCTTGGAATGATATGGGCTTCTTTTCCAATTTTTGGCAAGTGGAGCCCGAATAGCCAGTTGGGCTGATGAGTAAAAAATAAGTCCAAATGTATTTTGGCTAGAATGGAGAGTTTGGCCAAAAAGTGCAAATTTTGGTACAAACAATGCCCCCGAGTTTTCATGAATTTGGGCAAAATTTATGAAAATTATAGCTTTAGCAAAATTTGCCGATCAGTATGTGGATGGATGAAAAATGCATGGCCATATGAAAAAGTGTAGAATTTGATGCGAATTTGACAATATGCCCCCGAATCTCCTTGAATTCAAGCAAACATACCAAAATTGTGGTGCTATTCGCCCATTTTTTGCATGTTTCGAGACCATTTTGACCCTGTTCTAGTTGTTCTGTCACTGTTTTGGCTCAGTTCTGGCTGTTATGGCAGTGTTTTGGCTCTGTTCTGGCTATTGTGGCAGTGTTTTGGCTCTGTTCTGGTTGTTTTGGCACAAATTCTGCCTAAAATTACAATTCTGCCACCAATTCTGCCCGAAATTACAATTCTGCCACCAATTCTGGCTGAATTTACAACTTCTGCCATCAATTCTAGCTGAAATTACATTTCTGCCACCAATTCTGGCTGAAATTACATTTCTGCCACCAATTCTGGCTGAATTTACAATTCTGCCACCAATTCTGGCTGAATTTACAACTTCTGCCATCAATTCTAGCTGAAATTATAATTCTGCCACCAGTTCTGCCTTAATTTATTCATTAGTCTAGCTAAAATAGAGCACTCAAACCTTGCACCATAGGGGGAGGCCAACCATGTTTCACTCCAAGCCTTGATTTTTTTGCATTTTCAACATGAATCTCATGTTTTTGTAGGCCATGAAGTGATTTAGCAAGAAGAGTGGTGGAATTTTCTTGCTCATTGGGCTCCAAATAAGATGAATTCTCTTGCCCCCCAAGTATGGTTATATTTTGGCCAATCATGGCCTTACTTTCCAACATAGCCGTTGGTGGCCTTGACAAATTGGCTTTGTCACCCATAATCATGTCAATCATTGAATTTTCTATTTCAACCATATTTTGGTCTTCATAGAAAGTAATTTGTGGGTCTTCCCCCCTTGGTTTTTCATTACATTTTCCTTCTTGAATCACCAAACATTCCACAATTTCTTGTTTTTCAACGACTAGAGGAATTGGTGACTCACTTGAAAGAGAAACCTCATCACTTTTTGGCTCTTGAATCACCAAAGTTTTCTCCATTTTTTCTTCCAAAATTGGAAAAATTTGTGACTCACTACCAATGGATAATGAGTTGATCCTGATTTTGTTCTCTTTCCTCTTTTGATGGTGCTTTTGCCGAGCCTTATCCTCCTCCTTTCTGAACTTTTTAAATTCTTTTTGGAGCTCTTTTAATCCTTTTGGCGTATTTTCCATTGTTCAGTCAACTGGGTGAGCGCTCCATGGATTTTGATCATGACTTCTAACTTTTCTGTACGCCTTTGGGTTTTAGCTCTTTCTTCATGAATAGCATCAACATTATACATGTTGGAACCAAAATTTGGTTTCACATGTATTATGCCTGAATTTTTATGGAGCTTCTTTGAAACATGGCTAGAAGTAGAACGACATATTGGCTTTTGTTGGCTACTAGAACCACAAAATGGCTCTTTGTAACCATTAAAATAAGTTTGATCATCATAATTTTCATCACCATAATTTGGCAAATAATCATAATGATTAAAACCATATTCATAGCCACCATGTTGGTTATACTCAACATTATTAATGTTGTAATCATAACCTTGGCTTCCTCCACTACTTGAATAAGTATCTTGAATACATGGAGGTTGTTTCTTACAACCTTGTGGGCTTTTATTCTTTTCAGGAGAATAACTTGTGATGTCCTGGTTGTCTGAGCAAGCTAATTTGTAGCCATCTTGGCTATTATTCCTTTCAGAATAATAACTTTCACTGCTCTGGCTATATGACATGTACCCAAGTTGGCTATTATTCTTTTCAGAATAATAACTTTGGTTATTTTGGCAACCTAGATAAGACCTGCAACCTTGTTCGCCATTTGGCTTTATCAAAGTTAGAGGAAGCTCTTTACAACATTCAGTTTGAGCAGCATTGGCTCGAGGCTCAGACCGAACGCCAGGCAATAGGTATCTGCTGAACTCCGGCAAATATAGAGGAAGCTTTTACACTTACGTTGAACTAGTATTGATTCCGTAGTGTGCATAGACAAATATGTTTCTCTACAAACATGTGAAACATAATTTTAATTTTGATCTCTTTGTTACGTAAATTGCCCTGGCAATCGTTGATGCAGTAAACGAAGCAATGAGCCGGAGGGCAATCCACAAGGCCTTCTTTGAATCAGCAGCACTTGTTGGTGCCAGCGCTCTCCAAGTTTACCTTCTTCGCCGCCTCTTTGAACGAAAGCTTGGGGTGACCAGAGTCTGAACTTGTCTCAGCCAGAGATATTACCAATAGAAGAGCTTTACACTTAACTGTTATTCCCCCAAGCTTCTGTTTTTTTAATTTCTATTTTATCCCGCAGGAATAAATCATGTATAGAAAACCATCACTTTGGAAGCTCTAAGCCATCTCATTGTTTCTTGTGGAATCCCTTCGAGTCTCAAAATTCTTTTCTTCTTTTTGGGGGCTAGGGGGAAATTCTTTGAATACGAATAACCCGAAATTTTGTTCATTTTTTCATAGAAAGAAGAAAAAGGAAATTGTGTTTATTTGGGCACTGAATGTTCATGTGTGCAAAAGCTAGCATAAGCTTTCTGATTTCAGCCATATAATCACAGGCTACTTGTACAGTTACACAGTCGAAATAAAATTCACACGAGAATTCTAAATGGTTTTTACAAATAATATTATAATAAAAATTCAAATTAAAAATTAACGGATTTAACAAAACTAAGAGACCATTCCATCCAAAATTGTTAGAAGACCTAATCCATGCTAAAAATGAACAGTTTGGGGGCTTGAATTTCAGTTGACATATGAACAGTTTGTTGTTCATAAGAATTTCTGACCCCCCCCAAAAAAAAATTGAGATGCATAATGAGTAAAAATGAGATGTTATATGCTTTTACCTCTCTATTGATATGGTCTTGAGTTAATGAAGGTCAGACCTCAAGTTTCAAAATATGTAATTTGGGAACTTGGGAAAGCTATTTTGGCTTATTTTTATCTCTTGGAATGATATGGGCTTCTTTTCCAATTTTTGGCAAGTGGAGCCCGAATAGCCAGTTGGGCTGATGAGTAAAAAATAAGTCCAAATGTATTTTGGCTAGAATGGAGAGTTTGGCCAAAAAGTGCAAATTTTGGTACAAACAGGAGCTTGATGTATTTGATATCTACAAGGCTAAATATTACGTATGCTACTTCTTTGCTATCGAGGTTTATCTACAAACTAACTCAAATTCATCTTGGGATGGCTAAGAGAATTATGAGGTACATACAAGGTTCATTAGATTTTGGCATTATGTATGAGAGGAAGATTTAGCCAAAGCTATTTGGATTTTGTGATAATGATTGGGGTGGCAGCATAGATGACATGAAGAGCACATCAAGATATGTATATTCTTTGGGTTTTGGTGTATTTTCATGGGTTTCCAAGAAGCAACAAATTGTTGCTCAATCTACCACAAAAGTTGAGTATGTATTTGCAACTTTGGCATCTTCTCAAGCTATATTGCTCATGAAGATTTTAGAAGATCTTAGTGAGAAGCAAGATGGGTCAACTCCTATTCTTTGTGACAGTAAATAAGAAATTGCAATGACCAAGGATCTAGTCATCTATGAAAGAACCAAGCACATAGCAATCAAGCTTCAGTTGATCAGAGATGTTGTTGAAGAGAATGATGTTGATGTGGTCTATTGCAAGACAGAGGAGCAAGTTGCTAACAGCTTCACCAAGGCATTGCCAAATGACGAGTTTCAATACTTGAGGGCTTTGATGAGATTCAACAAGAAGGCATTAAGGGGGAGTTTTAAACTTGTGTAATGCTCTTGTTGTAATTATCTGAAGGAAAAAAAAATTGAGCCACGTTGGGAAACTTTAATATTGATGTTTTTGTTTGTATGGCTATTAGGAGGCCGCATAGGTGGTATGTGAATTGGCTATTTCTAGCTTTTCCGTTTGGTAGGTAAGCTAACCACCAAGTAGGCAATTAAGCTTGTAATAGATATTTTGTAGAGATAGTTGCTCTCATTGTGAATCAATTGAAAAAAATGGAGAATCAAGTCTGGACTTCAACAACACATATTGGGTGACGTGGGAACACGTGTGGCCGTTGGGCCCAACACGTGAAGCCTTGCTCTGATACCATGAAGGAAGTTGAGGTTCCACTCCAAAATCAATTGGCAATGGGGGGAGTAGCTCAACTCCTTATAAACCCAGGCTAGGTCCCTTAACATTTCAATGTGGGACAAATACTCTCAACACGCCCCCTCACGTGTGGCGAACTTTCAAGCCTAACACGTGAACAACACATATTGGGTGACGTGGGAACACGTGTGGCCGTTGGGCCCAACACGTGAAGCCTTGCTCTGATACCATGAAGGAAGTTGAGGTTCCACTCCAAAATCAATTGGCAATGGGGGGAGTAGCTCAACTCCTTATAAACCCAGGCTAGGTCCCTTAACATTTCAATGTGGGACAAATACTCTCAACACGCCCCCTCACGTGTGGCGAACTTTCAAGCCTAACACGTGAACAACACATATTGGGTGACGTGGGAACACGTGTGGCCGTTGGGCCCAACACGTGAAGCCTTGCTCTGATACCATGAAGGAAGTTGAGGTTCCACTCCAAAATCAATTGGCAATGGGGGGAGTAGCTCAACTCCTTATAAACCCAGGCTAGGTCCCTTAACATTTCAATGTGGGACAAATACTCTCAACACGCCCCCTGTCATAATTTTTTAGTATAAGTGATAGTCAAATTACAGATGAAAGGGGTTTCATATACACACTACCACGGTGTCATGGAGATTTGAACTTGAAACTATTAATACGCAAATCAATGCTTTTTTTTTTCTTCACTAAATTGGAATCCGATGGCTATATCATAAGAATACGTGTTTATTGATAAACATCTTTGTTTCACACACATATTCTTCTTTTTTGTCGCACACATTTGTTCTAATTGTTAAGAAACAGTTGCCTTATTGTATTGCATAATTTTTTTAAATATTTTTTAGTAAATGTTTATTTATCTATTACTTAGGGCGTTAAAACCATGCCTGCCGTTTTGTATTTTTTGGGGGGTCAAAGTACAGAACGACTTTTGAAAAAAAAAAAAAACTACAAACGAAGGACAGGATGGAAACGACACGTCGCATATAATTGCAACAAAAGTACTAAACTGAAGCTTTTCGTGTAGTTGCAGTCTAGTTCGTTACGTTCGAAGTCTCTGCCTTTTGAGATTTGAAACCTAAACACAGACTCCTTCATCCTTAACTTCTAACACCCGACTGCTTATCTCATTATTCTATTTTATTATTTTATAAATCCTGTATTTAATTTAAATTTGTTTTTATTTTCTCTGCGGCCTTCGTCAAATTGTTCAAATATTCCAAGGTAAATCCTATTTCTTCTTCAAATTCTGTAATTTTAGCTTCCAATAATTTCGTTTTGTTTGATCTCTCTGTCACTCTGTTTGGATGCCAAACAGGGCACTAATGGGAATCTATTTGTTATGATTGTAGCTTTTTTTTATATCGCAAGTTTTAATCTTTTTTCCAATTTCCGGTCAATCTGATGAAAAAGTTGGAATTTTTCTTTCAGCATTCAATATATGAATCAGATTATTTCCTGGGAACTTGATTCTTATTTGTTCTCTGTTTGTTTTGGTAGAAAATGGTTTCTGGGTTAGTTTTGATTTTCAGTTTTAAGGAACAAACAAGTTTCTGCCTGTTGCTTGACTGAATTGTTTGCATGAAGAAAAAAGAAAAAGGAAACTAAAAATTTCGGGCCTGTGATTTGTCATATTTTGTGTGTAATAATTTTGTTAGCTTGAATGTTAACAATCCTGCTTTTAATCTGCAGATGAAAGTTGGGTTTTCAAATTGTGCTGCTGTTTTGCTGCTGACATTTTTGGTGAGCCTACAAGCAGTTTTTGGGATCAGATTTGTGATTGACAGAGAAGAGTGCTTCTCTCATAATGTTCAATATGAAGGAGATACCGTCCACATCTCTTTTGTTGTAATTAAGGTGGATGCATCTTGGCATTATACTCAAGACGGTGTTGACCTCGTGGTAAGCTCGACATTTGTTCCCTGATTTGGGTTTGATAATTTCTCATACATGGTTTTAGCCATGCCATGATCTCTTTCATTTACTGCTGATTTAATAAGAGAGCTCATAACGTATGTAGCTAAACCGGAAACCATGTGTTTGCGTAAGCAAAAACATAAATGGATCATAGTGGTTGAAGAGCTTGCATTAATCCATGCTTATATTGTTAAGCATAATATTCAGAGGCATGTTAACTTTTTTTTGGCCAAAGAGAGGCATGTTAACTGAAAACCCACCTGTGATCGTACAATGTTGTTGGAATTTTCAGGTGAAGGGACCTTCTGGTGAGCAGATTCACGATTTTCGTGACAAGACAAGTGAGAAGTTTGATTTTGTCACTCGTCACAAAGGAGTCCATCAGTTCTGCTTCACCAACAAGTCACCTTATCATGAAACCATAGACTTCGATATACACGTTAGCCATTTTACGTACTATGATCAACATGCAAAAGATGGTGAGCGGTTGCTTTGTGCTTCTTTTGAAATCTTTAGTTATTCTTTGAACTGTTGAGCTCTTTGTGAAATAAGGAGACGGACTTATGATATTTTTGTTTGCATATATGCAGAGCATTTTAACCCATTGTTAGAGCAGGTATCAAAGTTAGAGGAAGCTCTTTACAACATTCAGTTTGAGCAGCATTGGCTCGAGGCTCAGACCGAACGCCAGGCAATAGGTATCTGCTGAACTCCGGCAAATATAGAGGAAGCTTTTACACTTACGTTGAACTAGTATTGATTCCGTAGTGTGCATAGACAAATATGTTTCTCTACAAACATGTGAAACATAATTTTAATTTTGATCTCTTTGTTACGTAAATTGCCCTGGCAATCGTTGATGCAGTAAACGAAGCAATGAGCCGGAGGGCAATCCACAAGGCCTTCTTTGAATCAGCAGCACTTGTTGGTGCCAGCGCTCTCCAAGTTTACCTTCTTCGCCGCCTCTTTGAACGAAAGCTTGGGGTGACCAGAGTCTGAACTTGTCTCAGCCAGAGATATTACCAATAGAAGAGCTTTACACTTAACTGTTATTCCCCCAAGCTTCTGTTTTTTTAATTTCTATTTTATCCCGCAGGAATAAATCATGTATAGAAAACCATCACTTTGGAAGCTCTAAGCCATCTCATTGTTTCTTGTGGAATCCCTTCGAGTCTCAAAATTCTTTTCTTCTTTTTGGGGGCTAGGGGGAAATTCTTTGAATACGAATAACCCGAAATTTTGTTCATTTTTTCATAGAAAGAAGAAAAAGGAAATTGTGTTTATTTGGGCACTGAATGTTCATGTGTGCAAAAGCTAGCATAAGCTTTCTGATTTCAGCCATATAATCACAGGCTACTTGTACAGTTACACAGTCGAAATAAAATTCACACGAGAATTCTAAATGGTTTTTACAAATAATATTATAATAAAAATTCAAATTAAAAATTAACGGATTTAACAAAACTAAGAGACCATTCCATCCAAAATTGTTAGAAGACCTAATCCATACTAAAAATGAACAGTTTGGGGGCTTGAATTTCAGTTGACATATGAACAGTTTGTTGTTCATAAGAATTTCTGACCCCCCCAAAAAAAAATTGAGATGCATAATGAGTAAAAATGAGATGTTATATTTGATTTAATTGAGAGGTAAATTTTAGGGGTACGATTCCATTTTCTCTTATTGGTACCAGAGATCCATAACATGGAATATACATACAAAATAATTTAACAATCCGCAGCATGGTCCCATAGAAGAAAAGAAGAAAAAGTTTCTGAAATTTCAAAACAAAATAATTTCACACACAAGACGGGTTTGATAATACAACGAAGGAAGAAAAGGAAAAAAATGTCATAAGCAAAGCTCTAAAGCGTGTAGCAAAAGATAAGACAAAGAAACAGACTGGCATTCTAAATACCAATCACAACAACAACATCAGACAATATTAGATACAATAAGTATATTTGTCTTCTTTACTCCTCCCATCACAAAGTTTTTTTTTTTTTACGCCACAATAAATTCCATCCATCATTGCTATACAGCTCCCTATCTTCTTTGGAAAAATATGGTAGATCCAATTACAGAACACCGTGCTCTTCTATTGAAGCACTTCCTTGGAGACAACCTTGTCAAGATTCGGCTGGTGGTTGATGAATGCAGCAAAACCATTTTTTCTGCGCACCGTGAAATCATCCAAAGGAGAAAGACAGTCAAGCAAACTAAATCAACTTTCGGCAGCAGAAATAATTCGAAGCACAAAAACAGATGCAGAAAGACAAACATAGTAAAAATGAAAGGGCCACATAATTATCAACTGACCACAAGATGGGTAAATACTAAAGTCCAGGGCCACTAGTTCTTTCCAAACAACTGTGACTTAGGCAACATCTATCTTAAACAAGGCAGAATCAGAGGGTTCATCTTCCAATTCCACTCCCATGGAGCGATCAAATAATGCAAATAAACAGCCAAATCAACTTCCTTTCTTTTCTTTTTCAAAATCTTGCCACTAAATATTATATTAGTCCTTTTCCTCTTCTTCCTAACTACAATTCTGTATAAGAAGTCGGTTGTATTGATCTTTATTAACTGGTAGGCTGAGTGTGATCAATAAGGCAGTGTTATATCAGTATGCAGTCTACTTTTTTGGTGAGAAAGGTATGCTATCTATTCAAGTTGTGTATTGTACTACTGTCACTTGAAAATCAAAAGCTTGTAACTACACAAACCACCATCAACTAGAAAAAGAA